AACTATCAACATATATATAATGATCACAATTGGTTGGTGTGGTGGATTAGGTCACTGAATATTGTTTGTTACGTTCAAATAATAATAATAATAATAATGCAATTAAGTACTAAATGCAATAATGCATAATTACGGAATTAACTAATAATATGTTATTAATTTAATAAATTAGTGGCCTTTTTCAGAGAGACGGTGACAAAGGAACCAGAGCTGGCCTTGGAAAAATATGGACCCAGAAATATCTTCAGTATTTGATAATAATACCGAAGGTGAAAGAATCTAATTCAGCAGAATTTCTTATTAATTACTAATTAAATTCACGTTACGGGCGGTATTTAAGTATTACATACCTTGATTTTCCTCTTAGTCCTTGCCATCATCTTTTCTTCTCTCTCTGACTCTTCGTCTCCCTTCTGAACAACACATGCATTACTCATGCAGTCGAAGCTCTTGGAATTTAAGAGGAATTACGAAGTTAGCAGTGCTGTAGGAAGCATATTTCGGACCTTAATGCTATTACATTTACGTATGATCCGGTATTTACGTATGTATAGCTTACGTTTTCGCGAGCTCACCTCGACATCCACTTGTTGCAGAGATTGATGCGATTCTCATTTGTCTCAAAATCGCTAGAGATTAAGGGTGTGTTTTGAATCCAAATCTTTAGTGATGTAAAACTTGCTGTAGAGCCACTCATCCAAGATGTTGCAGCACCGATTGATGGGACGACCGGTAAGTTAGTCACTAGATTAAAATTTTATCCTAAAAACTATTCTTGTACATCTACATGGATCCCTCTGACGTCTAAATCTTAACACTCTTGTTATTATTAAAGAAGACCTAAGCCAAAAACACAGTGAACCCATCAATTCTTCTATTTTAAATAATTAAATTTATGATTATGATAATATAAATTCGAATTAAATTATACATATATAACTAAAAGATTTATTATGTTATTTTCTTATCAAGGAGTTGATTGTGTTGTTATTACAATTATTAAAATATATAAATTCTTAGTAAATAAATTTAATTGATAAATTGACAATGTAGTAATATATTTAATAAGCATACAATACAGTTAGTCTTTTAAAGAGAACATACATATGATAGACATGGCGATTTAAATTCGCAATTTTATAAAAAAAAAAATTAGATGATTTTGATCACATTCTAAATATCAAAATAATAAATTTGATTGATGAATTAACATAATTTTTGATGGGGTAGCACTAAAGAAAAAAAAGTTCATGTTGAATTTCAACAAAGAATGTCCATGCTCTTAGTATTGCCTTTTGTCTTTTAAAAAAGCAAAGAAAAAAATTATTACTACATAAACTAACTCATATTTTTGGAGAAAAATAATTTGTTATAATGTTTTTGAATTGGTATTCACAGATATATCATTGGACATCAGCTAAATTCTTATATATATATATATATATATATATATTCCAAGATAATAAATACTTGGCTGTTTCGGGGGTAAATTTGTGATGATGGTTTTAAGGATATGTATGGTGACACTGGGGTCTCCATAGCCAAATCAAAAGAGTAAGTTTGTCCTCAAATTGAAATGACGAAAAGTAGGAGAGGGGGTGTGTACCTAAGAAATTTAGAAAAAGAAACAAGAGGGCTAAATTAAACATAACTAAATTTAGTGCAAAGTGATAAATTTCTGAATCATTGAATTCATCATCTTCATTAAAAATATACACACTAAGCCGGTACAAGTTTGGAATATTTCCATGAGAAATTTCATGCTCAGAACAAAAGTATCTACAAAATTGAAAACGAAAAACAAGTTTTAAAAAACACCAAACATGAAGTTGAAGATAATTTTTTATAGAAGAATCAAGCAATGCCAACTGAAGAAAAAGAAGAAAGGTGGTAGTTGAGGGAGTGGAAGAAGGAGAAGGAGAAGAAGAAGAGGTAGAGGTAGATAGTGCGATCTTAGCAATTGTGGGGTTGTTCCACTTTTTTTTTTTTTGTTTTGGAATTATTTCCCCGACACAACTAATCCAAAAATTATTATTACTTTACAAGAAGACACAGCCTTCGGGATAATTAATTCACTTGGCTCGACTTTCCTTCTTTCGTATTATCCCTTCTTAATTATAGTTAAAATATTAATTAATTTTTTTAATTAAATTATTATTTTCTTCTATTTTTCTCTTTCTCTACTGGAACAATAATTGATGATCACACATAAAGTGATAAATGTCGTACGCTTCATAAATGACAAGCACATGCATACTCAATCAGACCGTTTGATTAGTTAGTATTATTTTTATTTTTATTTTTCCTGTAGTAGGAAAGAATTAATTAAACACTATGAGACGAAGGTTATGATTAGCAAATCAGAAAGAAATTAAGCTTGGTTGGTATCTCCTATATATATTAAATACGATAAACAAATGAAAATAGCAGAGAATATCAGAAAATCCAGCACCCTTAAAATATATACATGGCAAAATAGCTTTTGAATTGAAGTTAGATATCACCTGTACATCTTTAGCATTAATTGATTGAGAGAGCATTTCAAAGAATGATATTTAGACATCTATGGGAAAATTAAATTTGTTAAATGCTAAATTCAACAATTTGCTTAAAAGATCGAGGACTTCATATGCATCTTACCTGCCCTCTCAGTTAAATGGCATCCTCTCCTCAAAAATCTCTTACCATTCATCTTCCATATACAATTTCAAAATCTTCTAAGATTTTATATAAGAAATCACAGTTTTATGATTATTTATTAATTTTTGGTCGTGCATATTATCCCCCCACATCAATACAATTTACTATTCTCACAAATAACATTTTGTTAAGCTACCTGCCATATGAAAAACACTCAAAAATTATGTTCTTTATCTCTTTTTTGGACTGCCATGTGAGCCTAACTAGTCATTTGGATGTTGAATAGACTAGTTGTCCAAATACTAGAAGGAGTACTATAAATAAAAATATAGTTTCTAAATCTAGTTTTGAACAAAATATTGAGCTACTATTTTCCTTATTTGAGACATTAGATTTATAATGTATTCATGAACTTTATTATATTTTAATTATACGGTTAATTATTTATTGTGATAATGTTAACATAATGTACATAATTTTTAATCTACTCCGATGTGCTTGTTCAAAGCACATTCTGCTTGATATCTATTTTGATCATAAA